AATATCTAGATATTGATTATTTGTTGTTACAAAATAAAATAACATATAATAGAACATATTATTGCATTAAAAGTTAATAATAATAGTTGTGACACTTTATTTGAACTTAATCTTGAGCGTTTTTCATAAATTGACCCTACCTTCTTTAGAAAATATAAGCTCAACATCTGGTTTAACAATTGTCTCCGATGAAAATCACCAAACAACTAGGTAGTAATATTTTACACGATCAGAACTTTGAATCGTGCAATACAATGCAAATGGACATCATCTGGGCAGCATCTGGCGAGCTGAATAAAAGTTGGAAGCTGAAGAAAAAGTTTGATACCCGGCCATCCACGGTACAATATTCTATACACGAATGACGTTTTGGGTAATTTATAGCATTTTTTTAAATGTTATTTCCAGAATGAAGCAAGAATCAGGATGTGGGCACACTGCTTCAGAATCGGCGCTGGAATCAACACCAACATGGCATTGGAGAGTATGAACAATTTTTGCAAGAAAAACCACATTTGGTTTTTCATTAAGAGGAAAGCGAATATAACGGTGGAGACATTATTGGACAAATTTAATAATCTGGTAGATGCAAAAATGTGGAAAAGAATTACAAATATGAATAGACCAAATGCAAATAATTATCAAGAGAGAATCACCACAAAGACTCATAAAATGATGGAGAAAATGAATACGAACTTAATTCAGGAGGTATATTTCGGGGAATTTAAAGTAAAATCTGCGGTGAGTGAGCGATAAAATCATTTTTTTTGCGTATAAATGAAAATTTTTAAAAATATATGGATAATAATAACAAATTCCTTTTCCCTTTTACTTCAGAAAAATCCCTAGAACTGGGGAAAAATTCCCTAGCATGGCATCGCTGCTTGGAAGGGTGGCAAAATCGAACGGAGCTCGCCACGCGCTTCCGATCCCTCAACACCTGCACAACAGATCAATCACAGTTTACATTTAAACGCTGTAAAAATCACGTCTGTCTATCGCAAAGATAACCACGACTGATCCGATATTTTCAACCGATTGCCAGCTAAAACAATAAAAGCAAGCTTTCATATATTAAATAATTTAATGGATACTAATTAATTTCACTTGCATCTTAGGTATTGCTCGTCACATCCATCTCTAGCCTACAGTATACTCATCCTGGTAGTTCAGTACTGGGAATCAGTTCGTTCCTTAACACAGCCACATGTAAAGAGGGAAACTCAATCTGTCCTATTATGGATCTTCAGATGTCGAGTCAAATGGGCCTTTTGCGAAAACCTCTTGTTGCAGAACTCGCACAGAAAAGCCTTCTCGCCCGTGTGCACCAAAAGATGCTGCTGCAATTGGCCCTTGGTGGAAAACGTCTTCCCGCACACTTCACAGTGGAAATTCTTCTCGCCTGTGTGTATTTTGATGTGAGTGGTCAAGTTGCTGGAGCTGGCAAACCTGGAAACTTCCAAACTCAATTTCAGCCCTAAGATTTAGGATATCAAGCACCTTTTGGAGCAATAGTTGCACTTGTAGGGCCGTTCCGAGGTGTGTACGGCAATGGTGTGCTTTGTTAGCTGCTGTGTGGTTGCGAAACCCTTATTACAAGCGGCACACACGTGGTTCTTCTCTCCAGTGTGGGTCTTCATGTGCGTGTGCAAATGACCGCCGTTGATAAAGCTGCAATTCACCAATTTACAGTAGTCTCAAGCAAATATCACCGCTCTATGCACCTTTTCTGGCACAAATGGCACACATAGGGCCTTTCTCCAGTGTGGATCCTCACGTGGTGCACCAAACTGGGCTTCGTCTTAAAGGCCTTACCGCAAGTGTTGCACTGATGGACTTTGCCATGTCTCGTCGCCTTTCCACTTTCTAAGCTTAGATTTTCCAACTGCAATAGTCACTTTTAAGTAGTTTAACCTGGAAACCGATTTTTGTTCAATTGTGCTCTTACCTTAATAGGGCTGTTATACTTCTCTTCTTCACTAGGGTCGACTTTGAAGTCTCCAGGGGTTGCCTTAATGGATTCATCAGCACTACAGCTTACTTCCAGGTTGGCGAATTTTTTCTCAGTTGGCTGGATGAAAATGAACGTTAAGCCACGCAAGGATTAGTGTGGAGGGTTTTACCTGGCAGGGGGCGAATATGGCCGCTTCCGCCACACCTCCAACTAGGGGTTGATCACCAGGTGGAATATCCACGCCGGCAGCATGTTCTTTGGCGTCAAAGCCTTAAAAATACAATATTCAGTTCGATAAATATCTTAACTTCGGTCCATCTTGCCTGGAAAATTCGGCGCGGCCGGACAGCTTTCAAAACACTGCCTCAGCTTCAAGTCCGAGGACTCGCACAGCATTTTGAACTGAAAGGATATGTTCAGTCGCGAAATGCACCTCTGGCAAATGTACCCCGGTAGGCCGTCTCCCTCTTGCACCTAAACAAACCGTGTCCAATCACCAGGCTCTGTAATCGGCCATTTAAGGCTCACCTGAATTGAGGCACAAGCCATTATAAGCAGGGAAAAGTGTGGCGGTTTTATGGGGTCGAAAATCGGCGTCAACTTGCCGCTCTTTTCCAGACATATTCGGCAAATGTTACTGATATTCAACGATAAGTAATAGCTCAGGATTTGACTGCTTTCTCTTTGAACGTCCTTTTTCAGAAATGCCATTGCTGTTGTTGTTATTGTTGTGTTTGACATTGATGTCACATACGGTCGATCGTCTTGTGCTCTCTTGCCAATGCAGGTGTGCGAACGAGATGGCGCCATTTTTTACTTGAAGCGGGTTATGCAAAAGAAGAAGACACTTTTACAATGTTGCCTTCACGACTATTTTCCGTGCGATGCCCGTGACGTCACCGGCAGAGCCCATAAAACCCAACCTCGCTTTTCTTATTCCATATAATTAACACATTGTTCCTGGTGTTAAGCAAGCAAAAGTTCATTAAGTGAATGTTCTCATTTATTCTGATTTAGAGTCTGGTTGTTTATGCAGACCGGAGTTTGACATTTAGTTTCTCAAAAGTTAGAAGTTAGAGCCACTTTTTGCGCACGTTGTGTGTGAAAAAGGTTCGATTTTGCGTCAGCCTCATTCGCTAAGATTCCATTCGCTAAGATTCATTTCGTTTTGGTAGCACTTTGCCTACAGAAAATTTGGTCAATAATGCATCAAGTCGCGTAAGTCAAAAAAATCTACTCGTAGCTCAGTCTCCCGCTTTTCCAGCTCCTTTGACTTTGTCAGTCGGTTTTTCAGGTCATGTACTTCTTCCTCCAGTAGAAGCTTGTTCTTTAAGTTGTCTTTCAGCCGCGTGAAATTCTCTTTAAGCTGCTCATTTTCCTTTTCGATTTCCGCGAACTTTGCCAATTTGTGGGCTTGTGTATGAAAACACTCAATATTAAGAACGATTTAAATGGGCATTGCTTGATAGCCAACTTTTGCTTGTTGCTGGGCCTCCAGATAGTCCTCTTTAGCCATTTTCAACTGCCTAATTTGACTTTTGGCCTTCTGCAGCTCGACCTTGACCTGCTCTATTTTGATATCAGTCGAGTTCTATTCGTTTAGCTGTTTTGCTAGAACAAATAGGTTATAAAACGTTTGGAAAAGCCCATTCAGTCGGAAATTAGTCAAATAACTAACCAAGTTCGGTGGCCAACTTCTTTGGGGCTTCACCATCTTCTTCTGCTGCATGCAAGACATACTGCAGTTCTTCAATTTTTCTCTTCAACTTAAATGACTCGATGCTGCTTTCGCACAATGCGAGTCATTCTTCAAGTCTGCAATTTTCCTTTTCCAGGGCCGTTATCTCCTCGTCAGAGACTACCTTCAATTGCTCGTACTTGGCTTTAATCTAAAACAATTACATGGTCTTTAAGGCATTTGGGCAAGGCTCACTAATTACCTCTGAGAGTTCCCACTTTACTGCAGTCTCTTTTCTCCTAACAGTCTGAAGATGATCTCCCAGCTCTTCAATATTCTTCATATCGTATTCAAGCTGTCYCTTCAAAGATTTAGTTTCACTGTCGAACATCTCCTCCATAGCTTTTCGAGCATTGTGCATCTGCTGGATTCGGTGCTCCAAATCAAGCATGGTGGCTTTAGCTGTCCGCAGTTCGTGCCTTAGATGATTTACCTCCATGGGTGAAGCCCGGCAAGATAGGTTAAGTGTGCTCTCTCTTTTCAGCCTTTTTAAGAGCATCTCTTTATACATGCTACTCTCTAACGAGCACGAGCTTAAAGTCCGTTTCAGCGGAGTTTTGTCGGGCTCAGCCATGTTCGGATTGCCGACCGTATGCAGTTCCCTAACGATTTTGATTATGGTTTCATTCACTTTCGTCGTCTGGTTCATTTTACAAGAGAACCAAGATTGAATAGCTTAAAGTGTGTCTTCAAAGCACACGTAAACACTCCAAAGAAAAACTTTGTGCCTCATGATGGGAAAAATTGTCTCATGATGGGAAAAATTTTGTGCGAAATGAACTGTTCATCACAATGCAATAAACTACTGACTTTTAACTGATTTATAGATTAATACTGAAATGATTATGAATAAATGGTAGAGAAAAGAGAAGAAAGAAGCACTGATCACAATAAACACAACATGAGCGACATAAATGTCACAATTTCAAACCACAGTTTCAAACTAGTAATTTGTTCTCTGCAAACGTCGGATCTTAGTAGGAATAGTTTGATAATCAGTGTCATAAAACGACGTTTCCACCAACACACGTTATTGTATAATGGATTGCTTACTACACATGGATAAATTGTGTACAGCCGCTCTGTAGACGCAAATGGCAGAAGCAGACGAGTCCTTTGCCATGTTGCCCTGTGGACTACATTTTGAGTATCATTTGTCTGTGTGCAAGGGAGATAAAAGCAATTGGCTTGACAATGACGTCACTCTCATTTCGAGGTTATGTGTTTGTGTGTTGTGAAAATTTAGTTTCAAGCTGAGGTTTTAACGGTTTTCAGCAGAGACAACTTCTTATCGCTGGTTTTTAGTTTATTTTTCCACCGAAATAATGTCGGACGCATGGGAGGAAATTCAGGCGGTGCAACGGAAGCGCAACAGCCTCAGGGAGCGACTGGAAAAGCGCAAAAAGGAGCGCCGAGACATTCTGGGGTCCAGCTTGCATAGCTGCAACAGCTCAGACTTGGCGAGTTCTACCTCTGCACCCGGGCTTTCAAAGGAGGAGGTGAAGCCAAAAAACGAGGACGGCTTTGAGGCCCAATTGCTGAAAGTCGACCCCGAGCTGGAAAAAGAGCTGCTCAGGCACCTGGCGGATGTTACACTACAACTACCGATGTGTTCGTTCGATTTAGTCGCCACCCTCAAGACCAGCGCCTCACATAAACAAGTCAGCAATTTGCTGCAGAAATTCGCCACTCAGAAGCTGATTCTAGTGAAAGACACCGTTAGAGATGGAGTGAACACGCTCGATGTAGCCTCAGTTGAAGTTTCAAAGGTGAGGGCGAATAGCTAAGACCTTTCGATGATTGTCTGTGTTTTTTTTATCAGGTCAATGCGATGATTGCCGAGCTATTTGATGAACAACAGCCCAACGTGGGGGGAACAGCCAAGCGGAAAAGGGAGGAAGCCGAAGCTGTGGAGAGTCTGGAGGAGGAGAGACGCAAAAAAGAGAAGAAGGAACCAAAGACTGACATTCTGGTAGGTGTGACTTGAAAGCCTGGATGTTGATTGGGCAAAATTTGGGCTGCTTTTAGTCGCTGCTGTCGATGCCCTCCACTAAGGAGAAGGAAACCAAGAAGATCGGCGAGGAGATTTTGGTGCTGCTTAGTAAACCCACTGCCAAAGAACGATCGCTGACCGAAAGATTCAAGTCGCAAGGTACTACTTACACTTATTCCGGTATTATTCCTCGATTTATTGGCCAATTATTGAAGTAATCTTTTCGGTCATCATTGACTTTGCACTTTGATATTGTTCTCACAATAAATCGATGCAATTTTAGTGAAAACCCAACATACATTTCAATAGTTCTATTGCTTTTTATAATTAATTTTGATATATTTTAATGACACATGACGTTTGCTTGTCATGTCATGTGTCATTGGTCATGTTGATGACTTTTGCGTTGACGGTGGATTTGTGCTTTTCAAATAAACCATTATTTCATAAAGAATAATCGGCAAAAGCGAGACAGCATTGAGATCATTTAATACTGCTTCGAGAATTTATGCCCGGTATGGCAACAACGCTCGACAGACGATTGAAGACGTGCGCAGATATTTTTTTCTTAACCTTCCGCACCAGTCACTGACGGCTAAACGTAGGAATAAGGTCTCATTAATGTGCATGCGTTAACTGCAGATTTTTAGCTGCTGATCAGCTGCGTGATTAGCAGTCTTCATCTATGATTAACAGTGGAGTGGGCGCTATCTATCTCACTCTTAATCAATGCCGTTTATGTTCAAGTTTCGTATTTAAAATTTTCGGTATTTGAAATATATTATTATGTATAGATATTAGGCCTATCGACCTTCCAAAATTGCCTGTTTCTTCTGCAATTCGGCCTTCCCAGCATAAGGCGTGCAAAGGCAACATCAAATCCCAAAGTTCCTGTTAAACATGCGAGTTCCTAGTACTTTCATATTATTGATAAATGTTATTATACTGATGGCTTGTGCCTGGATTTCGTTTGATCAAAAAGAGTAGATTTCATAGGATCTCTCTGCCGCGTTGCCGGTTTGATATTTCCAATGCGAACGAAATGATAACCCCAGAGAAATACGGATTTCTGTGGATACCGTTTTTATCTATGGTGGATTCTAGCACGTTTTTAGTTCAGTGGCTGTTGTTGAAGTTCATGCTAATTCTATCGTTAGTGATTTATGCAATTAGTTCCCGCAGTAAAGATTTGGATTCTCTGAGTTTTAATAGTAATGGAACTTGTTTGGTTTTTACTGTTTTCTGCTTTCTAAAATAATGAACATATATATTTAAATGTTGTCTATGACCTTCACTTTCATTAAAATGTGTGTGATGGCTGTGAAAAATCAGAAAAATATGCGGCATCACATTTTTTCTCCTATAAGATTGCATCTTAAACACAAACAAACATTAACTAGAAACAATTAATTTTAAAAAAGTAAACGACTATGACACTCGTTGAATGCGTTTCGTCCCTGGCATACCCATTGGACTCGTCAGTAAGGCTTAGGTAGGCCCATGGTGGGCCATAGCTTAGACGTCCGATACAGTATATAGTTAAGTTCTATATTGTTGAGGCGGATTCATTTTTTTGCAAACTTCTTTTTGGATAGTTCGCCTCAGACTCAGACAGAATTTCCTCACGTCTTTTATTACAGATTGATAAATAGTGCTCCTATTTCGCAATAAGAACGAATTATTTATCAAAAAGTAATCA